TTTTCTATCTGTTGAGGTTTGTTTTGTTACTGAGTATGTTGTCTACTGTTATAGTATGTTTTGAGAAGGTTCCATGCAGTGTTAAGAAGAAAGTATATTCTTTTGTCTTTGGGTGGAATGTTCTATAGATGTCTGTTAAGTCCATTTGAGTCATAACATATTAGTTCCCTTATTTCTCTGTTAAGCTTCTGTCTGGCAGACCTGTCCAGTGGTGACAGTGGGATGCTGAAGTCTCCCACTATTAGTGTGGGGGGCTTAATTCATGATTTAAGCTTTAGTAATGTTTCTTTTACAAATGCGGAGACCTTGTGTTTGGGGCATAGATATTAAGAATTGAGACTTCCTTTTGATGGGTTTTTCCAATGATGAATATGATGCCCTTCTTCATCTTTTTTGATTGATTTTAGTTAGAAGTCTATTTTGTTAGATATTAGGACAGCTTGTTTCTTAGGTCCCTCTGATTGGAAAATTTTTCTCAATCCTAACTGAGGTAATGTTTGTCTAAGGTTGAGGTGTGTTTCTTGTATGCAGCAGGAGGATGGATTCTGTTTTTGTATCCAATTTATTAGCTTGTGTCTTTTTATAGGTGATTTGAGACCATTCATATTAATGGATATTAATGACCAGTGATTGCTAGTTGCTGTTATTTTTGTTTTTGTTGGTGGTGATGGCATTGTGTGTTCAATTCCCTTCTTTCAGATTTGCTGCTACAAGCTCATCTATTGCCTGTGTTCTTGTGAATGTAGCTGACTTCCTTGGCATTTTCCTTCTAGTACTTTCTATAGGGCTGAGTTTGTGGACAGGTATTGTTTAAATCTGGCTTTATCATGAAATATTTTGTTTTCTCCATTTATGATTATTGAAAGCTTTGCTGGGTATAGTAGTCTGGGCTGGCATCCGTGGTCCCTTAGTGTCTGCATAATGTGTGTCCAGGACCTTCTGGCTTTCATTGTTTCTATTGAGAAGTCAGGTGTAAGTCTGCCTTTATATGTTACCTGGACCTTTTATTTTGCAGTTCTTAATATTCTTTCTTTATTCTGTATGCTTATTGTTTTGATTATTATGTGGTGAGGGAACTTTTTTATTGGTCCAGTCTACTTGGTGTTCTGTAAGATTCTTGTACTTTCATAGGCATGTCCTTCTCTAGGTTGGGAAAGTTTTCTTCTATGACTTTGTTGAATATATTTTCTATGTCTTTGAGTTGGACTTTTTCTTCTATCCCTATTATTCTTAGGTTCAGTCTTTTCTTAGTGTCCCAGATTTCCTGCATGTTTTGTGTTAAGGATTTGTTGGATTTAACATTTTCTTTGACCAATTAGTCTATTTCCAATATTGTATCTTCAATGCCTGAAATTCTCTCTTCCATCTCTTGTATTCTATTGTTTATATTTGCATTTGTGGTTCCTGATTGTTTACCCAGATTTTCCATTTCCAGAGTTCCCTTGGTTTGTGTTTTCTTCATTGACTCTATTTCAGATTTCAAATCTTGAATCGTTTCCTTCACATGTTTGAATGCTTTTTCTTGGTTTTCTTTAAGGGATTTTTCGTTATCTCCCAATTGTTTGTCTTTTCCTCCATTTCTTTAAGGGACTTTTTCTTTTCCTCTTTAAGGGCCTCAATCATCCTCAAAAAGTTATGTTTAAGGTCGTTGTCTTCTGCTTCATCTCCATTGGGATGTTCAGGCCTTGCTGTTGTAGCACCACTAGTTTCTAGTGGTGCCATATTGCTCTTTATGTTGTTGAGTGTGTTCTTACCTTGTTTCTATGCCTCTCTTCTTCCAATCGGTATAGGAGGAGCTTGTGCTTCAGGGGGTCTCTCTTTCTCCAAATGGTATAGTTGGGAGCTGTGGTTCCGTTGACCACTCCTTCATGTACAATCAGAACAGAGCCTCCAGTGATCACTCTTCCTGGTGGAAGTGGGCCCAAGGCTCAGGCAGTCGCTCCTCAAGGTGCAGGTGGGCCTACAGCTACAGTAGGAAGAAGGACCACCGCTCCAGTGATTGCTCCTCTATGTGAGGTGGTGCTGAGGTTCCAGTGGTCACTATAACAGTGGGGTATCTTGAACCAAGAAATGGCAATGGATGCTGGCTGGGACACAGGTGCACTTTCCCACAGGAACTTCTTGTGATAGCTTCTGGAAGCCACTGTTGGAAGTTGCTGCTGTCATTTCCTCCAGCAGTCACTCCCTGCTCCTGGGCCAGTGGCTCAGGCCTCCCTCTAAGGCTGCTCCTGGGCCTGACGCTCAGGCTTCCCTCAAACATATCTTTACATAGTTAAATATTCTATTCCACAATTGCTATCCTCCCGCCTTACTAATCTGGCTACCTTTTAGCTTTTAGTTAAGCCATTCTCAATTGTGTGCAGTTTAGCTCTGTGTTTTTTGAGGTATTCATTTCAACCTTGTTTCTACTAAGAATAATATTTTTTTTCTTTTGGTGGGGAAGGAAGGAAGACACAGTCCCTCTATGAATCTTTAGCTGGCTTGCCTAAAACAGGAGCTTGTGGACTGCCTGGAATAGGTGCTGGAAAGGGAACTTGGATCCTCTAGAAGAGGAAGAAGTGCTCTTAATTGATAATCCATCTCTCCAGGTGCTCTATATGTTTTTATATTAAACTAAGAGAGAGTGTTGCCATAAGTAACCCAAAATTCCTTTCAATTTATAGAATTTAAATCTTTAACAAACCAGTTAATTCAAATCTGTAGGTAAACCAGACTTGGTGATGCACACCTTTTATCCCAATGCTCAGAAAGAAATGCTCTCTTGAGTTCCAGGTAGGCCTAGTCTCCATAGTGAGTTTCAGGCCAGTCACAGATACATAGACCCTGCCTCAAAAGAGAATTATATTATCATAGCATGGGAACCTTGATAAGATATGAACTTTTATTTTTGGTTTGAGGACAAATTTTTTACTTTTATTTATCTATTCATTGTGAACAACTGCACAAGTAATATGGATATATGCACTTTGTGCATGAATATGTGGAGGCCAGAGATCAACCTTGGTGTCATTGCACAAGAGCTACTCACCTGGTTTTTGAGACAGTGTCACACTGGGACTTGGGCTTATCAACTAGGGTGGCCCAGCTGGACAGTAAACCATAGAGATCCTATCTCCTCCCCAGTGTTGTGATTAAAGTCTTGTACCAGAAGCTAGGTGAAGTGACACAGCCTTTAATCCCAGCACTCAGAAATCTGAGATATCCATATCTCTCTCTGTAAATTCAAGGTCAGCTTGGTCTACATAGTGAATTCCAGGCCAGGGCAACAAAGTGAAAACTCTGTCTCAGAAAACAAAAATAACAACAAAGTTGTCTGCCAGGCCAGAACTTGCCTTTAACCTCAGCTCTTGGAATGGGGGGAATGGGGGTCACAGAGACAGGCAGATTTCTGTGAATTAAAGGACAGCCTTATCTACATAGTGAGTTCCAGGACAGTTAGAGCTACATAGAGAAAACGTGTATCAAAAGATAAATAAATAGCTGAGCAGTGACAGTGCATGCCTTTAATATCAACACTCCAGAGGTAGAGGGAGAGACAGGCAGATCTCTGTGTTCTAGGCCGGCCGGGTCTACAGAGCTAGTTCCAGTACATCCAGGGCTACACAGAAAAACCCTGTCTTCAGGAGAAAAAAATTACAACCTGATCACCAACCTAATTGCTTTTTATCAAGTGATCCATAGTTAATTACAATGAAAAAAAGATAAGAGGCAAAATTAAAAGGCAACTGTTAGAGCTCAGGCAATCCAAATATCCAGAAATGAGCTCAAACTGAATTATAAGAGGATTTCCAGCAGTTAGATAAAAGCATGTTTTCCTTGACAACTTGTGAAACTAGTTCCCATCTGTCAAAAGGAGTAATTTCCCTTACCTCTGGCAGAGGGACAAATGGCTACCTGTGGTTTCATATCAAAGCCCATGCTGCCTCCAGGCTCACTCAATCCCTACTCACAAGTATTAGTAATATGTTTCAAAGTCCACACTGGCCTTTCTCATCTCAGATCCCTGCTCTCTTTGTGTCCCCTGCCCCTGTCTACGCTTGCTATCCTCACTATCCCCTTTCTGGCTAGTCTCTTTTCTCTCACAGGTAACCCTGGCTATGTCCAGTCAGTTTGTTTAACTCACTGCTCTGGACTCTTCCAGATGCCTCTTTCTCTCTCTTATTCACAATAAAATCCTTCCCTAATAACGGAGCGGTCATGTCAGTAATTTCTTTACTGCACCACCTTGCATATAGCAACTAAATCCAAAGTTACACTGCTATCTTAAAAAATAATCTTGGGCACTCTCGGAAAATAAGAGCACATACTGTGGGGGTTGGAGAGATGGCTCAGCAGACAAGAGCAATGGCTGCTCTTCCAGAGGACCAGGTTTCAATTCCCAGGACCCACATGGCAGCTCACATTGTCTGTAACTCCAGTCCCAGGAGGGATCCAAAGCCCTCTTCTGTCCTCCACAGGCTCCAGGCACACACATGGTGACTAGCTACACATGCAAGCAAAACATCTATACACATAAAGTAAATGAATGAATTTAGAAGAAAGAAGGGGGTGCATATTGCTCTTCCTGAGGATTTGAATTAGTTCCTAGCACCCACATTAGGTGGCTCACAATCACTTCTAACTCGAGCTCCAGGGAGATCTGAAACTTCTGACCTCTGCAAGTACCTGCATTCCCGTGCACAGACATACACATACACACGACTAAAAATAGTAAAACAGACATACACATACACACGACTAAAAATAGGAAAATAGGGTCTCAGAGGTGGCTTAGTGGTGAAGAGAAAGTGCTGATCTTCCAGAGGGCCTAAGTTTAGTTCCCAGCACCCACACTGGGAATTCCCAACTTTAAGAAGAGCATTTCTTGGTCCAATGTCAGGAAAGGGAAGGGGCCTCCAGCTAGTAAACTGGTTGTGTTCTGAGGTTTTGTCAGATAGTAAACTGGTTGTGTTCTGAGGTTTTGTCAGACAGACAGAACAAGGAAACTCAAAACCCCTTACCTTCACCAGCACATAGTCCCCAGGCTGAGCTCTGACCTTGAGCCCAGAGTTAGTGACATCCTCCACCTCTGCATCAGGGAAGATCACCTTAAGGTTTGCATCATTCCGGCCACACAGGTCTGTGGAAGAACGTTTGCTGAACTGCAGAAAACAGAGAGAATATATGCATCTGTCAGGAGTTCTAGAAGTTTTAGGAGGCAGACACTGCTCCTGTTGTCTGAGGCTCTCCTGGGTCTATCACAAAGCATTTCTTTTCTTTCTTTTTTCTTTTTAATTAATTTATTTACGTATCCCTACAAGGCCAGAAGAGGGTACCAGGTCTCTTTACAGATGGTTTGAGCCACCATGTGGTTGCTGGGAATTGAACTCAGGACCTTTGGAAGAGCAGGCAGTGCTCTTAACGGCTGAGCCACCTATCCAGCCCCACAGAACATTTCTTTCTTTTTTTTTTTTTTTTTTTTTTTTTTTTTTTTTTTTTTCTTTTTTTTTTTAATTACAAACAAGATTGAATTACCTGACAATCCCAGTTCCCTTCTCCCTCCCTTCCTCCCCTACCATCCCCCCAACTAAAACCCTCCCTATCACTTCCCTTTTCTTCTAATCTACAACTGACTCAACCTTTCTGCTCCCTCATGACCTCTGCATTCTTTCTTTTCTTCCCTTCTCATTCTCGTAGCTCCCTCCCCCCTCTTCCCATGTTCTCAATTTGAACAGAGCATTTCTTAATGAGGAAATCTGAAGTCTCACTTTGTGTGGCTGATTCAACAATAGGACAACATGTGGTGCACAACAGAAACAAAGTTCTGTTGACTATTTTAATGAATCAATGAATCTTTACAGGGATACTTAGAGAAACACTCTCTTGAAAAAAAAAAAGAAAGAAAGAAAGAAAATTCAAAACACCAACAAGAAAATAAACCAGCAAGGTCATAAAATGAAAAAAGTAAGACATTTTGGGCTTGAGATTGATTGTACAGTGTTTGTCTAGCACGCAGGAGGCCCTGGGTTTGATACAACACCACATAACCGGGGCATGAGGGTGCACTCCTGTAATCCCAGTGCTTAGGAAGATATATGCAGGAGGATCAGAAATTCAAGGTCACCCTTAGCTACATAGCAATTTTAAGATCAACCTAGGTAAACTACATGAGACCAGGTCTCAAAAAAGTAAGACCGACATAAAAGAGACACATAGTGTTATTCTAAAAGGCAAAAACCATGCGTGTGAACTTACCCCTTCAACCAATACTAGCTGGGTACAACCCACTGAGGTCTGGTTGGCTCTTGACGCCTCTTCTCTGAAGATAGTAATAAGTTCCTCCAAACGCCTTAATTTGACTTCTTCTGGAACATCGTCCTTCAGCCTATGATATGCCCGTGTCTTCTATTAAAAAATAAAACAGAACCCAGGTCACTAAGGAGTTAGAGAATCCTCAGGGCACAAAGGAGGGAATATATTCATTCTACTCACAAGTTACAGACATGTAATTTGGTCCAAAACCCAAACCTGAACCACATTTATTTCTCTAGTTCTGGGAACATTCCATGAGAAAAGGGCAACTAAAATAGATCTTTGTAGATTCATTCTAAATTTAGCAAATGAAAATCACACTCATGGCTGGCAGGATGGGTCAGTGGGCAAAGGTGCCTGACACCAAGACTGATGACCTGAATCCAATCCTAGCCCCATACAGTGGAATGAAAGAACCAACTCCAGCAAGTGGCCCTCTGACCTACACACACTACAACACATGCACACCCCTACAAACAGGCATACACAAAATCAATAAGTATACAAATAAATACATTTAAAAAATCACAGACTCAGGCCAGGTGCTGGTGGCACTCGCCTTTAATCCCAGAGTCAGGCAGATCTCTGTCAATTCAATGCCAGTCTGGTCTACAGAATGAGTTCCAGGACAGGCTCCACAACAATACAAAGAAACCCTGTCTCAAAAAACCATTAAAAAAAAGAAAAGAAAAGAAAATCACAGACTCAAAGTTAGTCTTCATACTAGTCCTAAGTTTATATTTGGACACAGACTAAATAATGCATACACTAAGCTACTCACCAGCGCTGTTTATAGAGACACAGATATAAAGCAGCCTGAATACTCACTAACTAGTACCTAATAAATTATGGTCTATCAACACAATGGAGTGTTAAGCAACTGTTAATAAGATAACACCACAAATACTAATGTAATTGTTCCAAAATACTCCAAAATCTGAAATTAGTAAAATCTAATCAACATGCATGTCGTTGGTGTAGAAAGCATTCATGTTTATGAACACATAACATGTATCTGGAAACTGATAAAAGAAAGAAATCACTAAGAGTGGGGCTGGCGAGATGGCTCAGAGGTTAAGAGCACTGGCTGCTCTTCCAGAGGTCCTGAGTTCAATTCCCAGCAACCACATGGTGGCTCACAACCATCTGTAATAGGATCTGGTGCCCTCTTCTGGTGTGCAGATATACATGGAAACACAGTGTTGTATATATACTAAATAAATAAAATCTTTAAAAAAAAAAAAAGAGAAATCACTAAGAGTAATTGCCTTCAAAAAGAGAACTAAGCCTGGGAGCAACAAAAGGAAGAAGTGTTTTAACCTTCACACTTCATTCCATAAGCACCTATTACCTAGTCAGAAACAATAATTATCCTTGAAAAGTGTTTAAAAACTATCCTGGGTATACACTTATATATGTCTTTATTCTCATGCTCAAATCAAGTGGAGAACACCACTGAGCTAGGAAAAAGTCAAGGAATAAAAGGAAAAGCTAAACACCACTGTCTGGAGATTCAAACCAATCTACCCTGAAAGAACTACCATATCCACAGAGGAAAACAGAATGGGGACTGGGTATAAGATCCTACTCGATGTCAGCATGTTGTAAGTAATGATAACCATCCGATGGCACTGTAGGAAGCACCACTCTAAGTGGGTTACATGCACTATCTTATTCAAGCCTCAAAACACGCCTAAGCTGGTACTGCTATTCCCACTTCAGGAAGCAACTAAGGACTTTAGACAAGGTCACTGTTACTACATGACAAAGGCACATTTTGAGTGCCATACTTCCATTGTGTGTTGACAGGCCACTTCCCGAGTAGACCAGTCTTATAAATAATTTCTCTTGTGCATCTGTGATGTCCAGGCTCTGGGGAAGTCTCACTTCTGAAATACTGTAAAAGATACTGGCCCACTTACACTGACTACAGAACACTGAGCACTGGACTTCAATTTTGTCTTGATTTACTTATTTATTTGTTTGTTTTGTTTTTAAGACAGTCTCAATCTATAGTCCAGACCTGTTTCAAACTTAAGATTCCCCTGCCTCAACCTCCTAAGTTCTAGGATTACAGCCATATATCACCAAACCCAGCTACCTGCAAAATAGTTCATAAATAGGAACACTAGCTTGGTAATTTTTTTAAGTTTTATTTATTTATTATTTATACAGTATTCTGTCTACATGTATGCCTGCAGGCCAGAAGAGGGCACCAGATCTCATTATAGATGGTTGTGAGCCATCATGTGGTTGGTGGGCATTGAACTCGGCACCTCTGAAAGACCAGCCAGTATTCTTAACCACTGAGCAATCTCTCCAGCCCCAATCTTTTTGGGTTTTATGTGTTTTTTGTTTTTTCGAGACAGGGTTTCTCTGTGTATCCCTTGGCTGTCCTGGAACTCACTCCATAGACCAGGCTGGCCTCGAACTCACATAGATTGGCCTGTCTCTGCCTCTTGAGCACTGGGATCAAAGGAATGCACCACCACCACAGCCCAGCCCAGCATGGTAATTTTTTCATATCAATTTGCTGAGGTTTGTTGGCTGTAGTGTCTAACACCCATAATGCTAATGATCAGGCAGCCAAGTGAAGCAGAAGGAAAACAGGCTTGAGTCCAGCCAGAGCAAAAATTAACTAGAGAATTAATTAGAGAAATTAAAATTAAATTAGAGAAATTAAAATTAATTAGAGAAAATGACGGTAAGATGCTGTGATATAGCTGGGTGTGGTGGCACACACCTTTAATTCCAGCAAACAAGAGCAGAACCAGGTAGATCTCTGAGTTCAAGGCCAGCCTGGTTCTGAGACTCTGTCTCAAAACAAACAAAAAATCCTGGGATTTTACAAAGTCAAACTCTTTCCACCCAACCACCTCCAATGAGTCCCAAGCTGGTAAGAAAACGATGCTAATTGTCTCCCATTCAGGACTTACCTGCCTCATGCTGTATGCAAAGAGAAAACCGGCATTATACTGAACTTCTCGAAGTAAAGACACTGTCTGCAGGTGATCATCCTCTGTCTCTCCACAGAAGCCAGTGATGAAGTCGCTGCTGAGGCTCACACCTGTCAATATTCAACAAAGGACCAGTGCTTAGAGACTGCTACTGCCGACCTCAGAAGGAATGTGGGCATTTACGTATTACAGAAGGAAGGAAAGCTGCTCAGAAGTCATTACAGAGCAAGGGGAAAGAGGCTTGTTTTTCTACAACATGACAGAACTGGCTCCTCCCTCTACATTTCCTTAAGCCCTAGAAAATAAATCTTGGTTTCAAATGCTAGATTCAGAGACACTATAGACGAGCAGTTTCAAACAGCCCTGCTTCTGCATGGGGAGGGTGAGGGACAGTGCTAAAGACTAAACCCAGAGCCTTGTATATATGCTAGACAAGCACTGTTGTGCTAACACTAACACTCCAGCTCCCAAGTCCTACTTTTACTAGTCAATCTTTCGGTGCTTCACATAAACATATACATCTATGTATCTTGTTTTGTTGCTATTGTTTTGATAGGGGATTTTTTTTTCCTACTGTGCTAGGGACAGAACCCATTCAACCTCTAAACTAGACCGTATCTATGTATTTTAATTTATAATAACTGTGTATATGTATATATGATCAAACACTGAATTTAAATTAGCATTATGTTCATTTACAATGCAGTAGCAAAACTATCAGATACTGAATACTTGGAAATTGCTATATGGCCGGGCAGTGGTGGCACATGCCTTAAATCCCATTACTTGGGAGGCAAAGACAGATGGAGCTCTGTGAGTTTGAGGCCAGTCTGGTCTACAGAGCAAGTTCCAGGACAGCTAGGACTGTTAAACAGAGAAACCCTGTCTCAAAATATCAAAAAAAAAAAAAAAAGTGCTACATGTCATTAGCTATTCAATTACTCCCCAAAATTAAATGACATGACTACTATTTACTCCATTTTATAAATTACAAATCTTCTTTGTTGTCATATATCCAATAATACAGTACTCAATACAAAGCCAGTATACCCAGCTGCCATAGCATCCTGCCCCATCAGAACAAAAGTATGTGTACAGCTGGGTGGTGGTGGCATATGCCTTTAGTCCCAGCACTGGGGAGGCAGAGGCAGGTGGATCTCTGTGAGTTCGAGACCAGCCTGGTCTACAAGAGGTAGTTCCAGGACAGCCTCCAAAGCCACAGAGAAACCCTGTCTCGAAAAACCAAAAAAACAAACAAACAAACAAAAACAACCCACAAAAGTATGTGTACATAATACAAGAAGCACGGTGGCACATATCTTTAGTCTCAGCACTCAGGAGACAGAGGCAAGTGGGTCTTTGTGAGTTCAAGGCCAACCTAGTCTAGTAAGCTCTGGGCTCAAAAAGGAAAAAATAAATAAATAAAAGTTGAGGGAAATTTCTGACATTCTCAATCAAATATAAGCAAAATGAAGCAAAAACAGTAATCTTATTAGGAGAAAGGGGGAAAAGGTATAATGGGATGTCTAAAATCTGCCTAATTAAAGTAGAATACGTGATAGTGCGTGTTTATAATCCCAGCAATAACAATGAAAGTAGAAGACCAAGTTCAAGGCCACCCTGAGCAACATAACAAGACACTGTGTCAAAATTCAAGCGCTAGAGCTACTCTTCAGTGGCAGAGCATATGTCCACAAGACATGAGGCTTGGATTTAATCTCTTGCAATATGCACACAGTCAGAAAGATGGAAAGGAAAAGTGGAACAGAGAGAGGAAAACAGAGAAGCAGCAAATGAACATAAAAATACCAAAAACTATGAAATGACACCATAAGGAATTTGCCAAAGAGGCTGGAAATTGAGCAAGATGAATTTGGACTGCGGTAATGTGCTCAGCATTTCTTAATGTACCTGGGATACATTCTCTGATATGATGAACCAATGCCACATAAGCTTCCCTTGAATATCTGCAGTAAAGAACAAAAAGAAAAGACCTAGTTGAGAGGAGAAGCAAGGTTACGATAAGTTCTCATGAAGCTGAAGTTAGCCTTAAACTTCTGTTCCACCTAGCTCTATCTCCCAAGTGCTGGGCTCTTAGGGCTACACCACCACACCTGACTCAATCTTATTTAAATGAGTACTATAGAAAGATAATACTATGAATTCCCACGTATATTCATTTTTCGATTTGTGATTTCACAACCACAAATCACAGTAGAAGAGTACATGAAAGCACCCCTTTGAGCCAGTGAGATGTTTCAGCAAGTAGATACTTTCTACCAAACCTGATGACTTCAGTTCAATCCCTGGAACCTACATGGTAGAAGAAGAAAACCAACTCCTGACAATTGTCCTCTGATTTACATGCACACATGTTCCAGCTCCTAAGGACCTTTCATTTAATAAATCAAGAAAAAAAGTAAACACTTAAGAGGACCTCTAGGGGCTGGAGAGATAGCTCGATGGTTAAGAGAACTAGCTGCCGCTGCAGAGGGCCCAGGTTCAGTTCCTAGCGTCCACATGGCAGCTCACAATCATCTGCCACTCCCATTGCAGGGGATCTGATGCCCTCTTCTGGCCTCCGTGAGAAGTGCATGCACATGGTGCAGGCATACACGCAGGCAAAACACACATACACGTAAAAAAAGAGGATCCCTAGATCTTTGCCTCTGTGGAAAATAAGGCCAAGTTCTAGTTCTGTGAGCTTTGCCTTAGGTCATATTACCCCCCTCCAGTTTCACCTCTGCAAACTTATTTCCAAAGTGAGTCAAGTGATCTACATTCATATTCTAAGACCTAAAAAACTTTATTATTCTTGCAAGGTAAAAGGCTAAAATTTCAAATATGGCACCCAGCAAGCACTTAATTTTAAAAAAATGTTAAGCAAATGAGAGGCTCAATGCTTACTCTGCTTAGGGGATACACAGAAGAAAGTTCAGCTGTCCATAGATACATTCAAACAACAACCACTTATTAATTTGCTACTGTGTGTCATATACTATACTAGGTCCTTAGCAACAAATGCAGTGTTTAGTGATTCAGAAAAACTGGAATGGTTAAGGATGTCCTCTCCCCAAGTATGTCTGACCCTCTCCTCATGGCATCCAGTACACGGTTGCTTCCACTCTGGGCTGGCAGATGGATCTGCTTGCAGATGTTGTGTCTCTCATGAATCAGCTGTAGAACCTGATTAAACAAAACACAATATGGGTTACCTAAGTCTCACCAAAGAATCATGTAAAAAAGAATATTCTATACATTCTGAAAGGGTGCAGATGGAAGTTTCTGTCCTGTCAGGTCCTGCAGCCCTTTAGTCCCAAATAAACACTCAGAGGCTTATATTAATTATAAACGGTTTGGCCTATTGCCCAGGCTTCTTACTAACAAACTCTTACAACTTAAATTAACCCACAATCCTTATCTATGTTTAGCTGCATGGCTTGGTGCCTCATCTCATTCTCATCTTGCTTCTTCTGCCTCTGGTTCTCGACTCACTCTGCCTTCTTTTTCCCAGAATTCTCATAGCCCCGCTTATGTCTCCTGCCTGGCTCCTGGCCAATCAGTATTTTATTAAACCGATAGAGGTGACAAATATTTACAGTGAACAAGAACATTATCCCATATCAGGAGGGGGTTGCTGTTGTTTTGTTTTGTTTACAGGCATTCTGCCTGACCCTGCCTCCTGAGTCCTGGAATTAAAGGTGTGTAACATAGTACTTGGTAGTATACTCCTCTCATTGTTTCTCCTCAGAGGCTAATTTTCAAGTAATGAAAAGGTTGATTGGGAACTGAGGATAAAGCTCAGTTAGTGTAGTGACTGCTTGGCATTCATGAGGCTCTGGGTTCAATCCTCAGCAGTGCATAAAACTAGGCATGATAGTGCACATCTGTAATCTCAGCACTTGGAGGAGAGGGGAAGAATCAGGAGTTCAAGGCCAGCCTCAACTACACAGACCAACATGGACTGAGACCTGTCTCAAAAAATAGGAAGAAAGAGCCAGGCAGTGGTGGCACACACCTTTAACCCCAGCACTTGGGAGGCAGAGGTAGATGGATCTCTGAATTCAAGGCCAGCCTGGTCTACAAAGTGAATTCCAGGACATCCAGAACAGTCAGGACTGTTACACAGAGAAACCATCTCAAAAAACAAAAGAAAAAAAGAGACAGTCTTGCTAAGTTGCCCTTACTGGCCTGACACTCATAATCCACCTATGTCAAGCTCCCAAAGCTAGGACTATAAGCATGTATCACTCACTGACCAAGAGCTGGGATTTGAACCCACGTGTGCCTCAGGCTTCCCACTACATCACATTGCCTCCCTTGCTGTTCTCACTGTATCTCCACCATGCAGCTGCCCACCTTGATAAACTTCTCACTACACAAGTGGCCCCAAGTTCCCACTGAAAACCATCCTATCGCCTCACTGATCTTAGGGGAATTTAAGTTTTGCCAAAAGGCCAGTAATTCTGCAAGGAGACATTGCAGTGTAACACAGAATCCCCAAAGCAGGATTCAAGGTCTCTGCCGTATACTTCTGGGTCCAGGTAATAATATGCTTCAGGATGCTGCTAAAAGTTTGTCACAACACTAAATATCAGCAACACTCACCTCATCAGGAAAATCCTTGGGGTGGGGAGAGGTGAAACGGATCCTCATTTCAGGGTCTATTCTTGAAACCTGATCCAGAAGATGGGAAAAGCGAAGCCCCCCTTGTTTGGTTTTATAGTTGGTAGTGAAGCCACGACTGAGGTTGGTAGGCACTGCATTATTGAACTGGATCTCTGAATTGTCCCGAAAACTATTAACATTCTGACCAAGAAGTGTCACTTCTTTTAGCCCCTAAAAACAGGAAAAACATGTTGAAAACAAGTTTAACCTTCTTGAACAGCTTCATCTCAAACCACTAATTAAAAATTAGCTCAATCTACCAAGAGCCATAAAGAAACCTGTCTTTAATCTGATAATCTCACACTGGAGTACCTTATCTAAAGACTGAACAACAGAGTAAGACCTTAAGAGTGTACCTGCCTGTAATCCCAACTCTCAGGAAGTAAAGGCAGGTTTCTGTTACCATCTCAATCCCTAAAACAGAATATATCTATCCTAAAGGAGTTTTGTACTGTAGGAGAACTTAAAATGGGGAGGAGGGGATAACTTTAGTATTTAAGCAAGTAAAAACTGAGATTTTACAAGCTATCAGTGATGGAACTATCTGTGGATCAGACAGAGGTGGAGGAGACACCACAGGCTACAAAGCTAGAAAGGCTATCCTCAGCCTGTCCAGAACATGCTCGTATGAAGAAAGCTTGGATAACCTCACCTGCTCAGAGAGCTTCCTCACTTCATCTAGAATGGAGGCAACCGGCCGACTCCTCTCCCGGCCACGAGTGAAAGGAACAATGCAGTAACTGCACATGTTGTCACAGCCCCGCATGATCGACCTAGGGAAGAAAGTACAAGAACACAGTTAACAGGGGAGCAATGCTGTCTTAGCATGTCCCATCTCTGCAGCTCTCTTGGGATTTTTCTTTGGCTCTGGATCCTCCTGCTTCTAAGCTCACACTGAACTAATGTGAAATCCGTAAGTGTATAATCACAGAATATGAACCAGACTGTAATTGGTAGACATGTTGGTGAGGAAGCATAGTGTTGAGGGGAAACGGTCTGACTCAGCACTGTGGAGTTTCTACCGTTTTGATAGGTATATTAGATGGAATTTTTTATGCAGAGATTGAAAACAAACTCTATGTCTACCTATGTTATAAAAGACACTCTGAGGCCAGGCGGTGGTGGTGCATGCCTTTAATCCCAGCACTTGGGAGGCAGAGGCAGATGGGTCTCAGTGAGTTCAAGACCAGCCTGGTCTACAAAGTGAGTTCCAGGACAGCCAGGACTGTTACACAGAGAAACCCTGTCTCAAAAAGCAAAAACAAAGCAAAACAAAAAGATCCTGAATTTAAAATATAGCTTGCATTTCTCATACAATCTTTTTCTTTGAGACAGGGTCTTCTGTGGGTCAGACTAGACTTAAACTGGTATATAGCAAAAAACATGGATGAGGATCTTGAACTCCTGATGCTCCTGCCTCCATTTCCAAGTGTTGTGTTTACAGATATGCATCATCATATCTGACTCTAGCTTTGGTTTTCTGACACAAGGTCTCTCAATGGAGCTCTAAATTGCCTAGTACATGCTGTGGAGCCCAGACTGCCCTTGAACGCACAGCAAGCAATATTCCTGCCTCCTGCTCCCAACTGTTAGGATTATAAGTATGAGCCTCTTTCTTCCCAGCTGTTGTTTTCTATTTCTGAAACAAGGGCTTTCCAAATAACACAGATTAGCCTGGAGCAACAATCAACCCCAGAGTGACCATAAACTCACAACAATCCTCCTGCTTTGGCCTCAGATTGTGAGCACACACTACAGCAGTTTAAAAAAAAAAAAAAAAGTTTTCTATCAAGAAAGCCCAAGGCATTCCCTTAAGTGAAAATAAACTTAGAACAATAATATTTATGTTTTAAAAGGAGGGTAAGAAAAGTATCCATATGAGTATATGACTACATATACAAGGAATACTTCTAGAAAGATTAAATAAGAATGACTGACATGGAAATCTTTGAGAAATGGCCTGAGAAAGCAGGGATGATGGGTGTGAGGAGTCTTACGGTATCACATGTTGTTTTCTGCATGTTGTCCCATAACTGTTCAAATGCATTCCTTTCCCTTATGCTCAACATAGTAAACTGAAACATGCTCATCCTCCAGGTCTCACATGATGACTCACACAAAGGCAGAAGTGGCACTGGGGCTTGTTTGGACTGGCATGATATCTGCATAGGTCTCATCCAGAGAGAGAAGCACGTTTGCTGCCTGCTGACCTGACTCCACAACAGCCAGCAGCCGGGGAAGGTCTCGATAGGCATCCGGTCCAGCCAAGAGATCGACTGTTTTCTCCCTGTTGAGGATCTCTCCCTTCAGTCTCTCAGCCATGCAGCCTGGGAAGCAAAAGAAACTAGTACCTCTTCTGCAGTTCACCTGTTTTCCTGGCTTTTGTTCAGTGCACATAATTTATAACTTGCCCTGGAGACCAGGGTACAGAAAACTTCTCTGAGTTTAGTATTACCCTGCAAAACTGGACCCACACAACTGAACCCACATCTTCAAATACAAGAAAACCATAGAAATATTCAGAGCAAATCAATTAAATGTCTGGAATGTGCAGGGAGGCATCCAAAAGCCTTTCCCCCATTTTTTCCATCACTGCTGGAGGTGCAAGTCAGAGCCTCCCACATACTAACCAAGCACACCATGAGTGAGCTGCATTCCCTGCCCCCCAAAGCCTCTCAAACATGAACCACCTCTTCTCACAGTTAAAGATTACTTACCACTAAGATAAAAGATATCCTTACATCAGAAGTCTGTCTATAAGTTTACAACTACACTTAATGCTTTTTTCTCTTTCAGCCCACAATACTTGCTAAACCCATGAGAAATTATATAAATAATTATGCAGATAAAATTTGTACCCCCAAACCATCATTTTATTAAGACTATAAAACCTAAAAGCATACCTTTTACAAAGTCTTTGGAATGGTTAGTTGTTTGGGGTTTTCTTAAAGATTGTTTTATTATTTTTGTTTATGTGAATGTGTGCTTGTGTATGTGCACATGACTGCAGGTGCCTGCAGTTCAGTAAAGAGTGTTGGATCCCCTGGGTCTGCAATTACAGGCAGTTGTGAATTGCCCAACACAAATGCTGGGAACCAAACGAGGATCCTCTGAAAGAACAATATATGCTCTTAACTGCTAATACATCTCTCCGGCCCCATAGTTTGGTTGTGATGGCTCAGAGGTTAAGAGCACTGACTGCTCTTCCAGAGTTGCTGAGTTCAATTCCTAGCAGCCACATAATGGCTCACAACCATGAGATCTGGTGCCCTCTTCTGGCCTGCAGGCATACACACTGACAGAACACTGTATACATAATAAATAAATCTTAAAAATAAAGAGAAAAGAAGGGAGGGAGGGAGGCAGGGAGGGAGGGAGGCAGGGAGGAAGGAAGGAAGGAAGGAAGGAAGGAAGGAAGGAAGGAAGGAAGGCACCAAGTCCCAAATCAGTCCCTTACATTAAAAAAGATTTTAAAAACAATTAGGGGCTGGAGAGATGGCTCAGCAGTTAAGAACACTGGCTGCTCTTCCAGAGGACCCTGGTTCATTCCCAGCACTCACATGGCAGCTCATAACTATCTCTAACTCCAGTTCAGGGGATCTGACACCTTTATACCAATGCACATAAAATAAAGTTAAATAATTTTTTTCAATTTTTTTAATTATTGGGTGGGGTGCCGGGCGTTGGTGGCGCACACCTTTAATCCCAGCACTCAGGAGGCAGAGGCAGGCAGATCTCTGAGTTTGAGGCCAGTCTGGTCTTCAGGAAAGCCAGAGCTGTTACACAGAGAAACCCTGTATCAAAAAACCGAGAGAGGGAGAGAGAGAGAGAGAGAGAGAGAGAGAGAGAGAGAGAAAAGAAATGATGCACATATTCTCTCTCAGCCTTGATTGTGGACGTCATGTGACTAGCTGCTTGACTTCCTGCCTTCCTGTCTTGACTTCCCCTCAGTGATAAACTGTAACCTGGAATTGCAAAGTCAAATAAAACCTTTTCTTCCCTTTTGGTCAGGGTGCTTCATCACAGCAACAAAAAAAACTAAAATACTCCCTCTTGCATCTCCTTCAATAAATCTCTTGTGTGAGGTTTGCTGTACAGTGTGACTTTGGGGTATTTCTTAGCTCCCCTCAGAGCTGGAACACTTACAGTAGTAATGGCTGCATAAGCACGTGAATATACTTAATACTACAGAATATATATAAAATGATTAAAATGGTGAGTTGATGTATACAACCATTATTTTACATTTTTCCATGGGGGTTTCTAAAATTCCAAAAGATTTTATACCCAAGGGCAACTATAATGAAGTGAAAAGGAAGAAAACTCCTCTAGCATCTATCTATATTAATCAGTATGACTGGATACACTGTGTGTTGACTATCAAGAGTGATTAAGTTAACTATACTAAAATGGACACGGTCCACTAAGCATAAAGTTAAATATATTAACCAAATTGGGGTCAGAAAGGATGCATAGATTTTTCTTTTGATTGGGGTATTTTTTGCATTTATTTATTTATTTAGCGTGTGTGTGGGTGTGCACATGCTACAGTACCCATGTGGAGGTCAAAGTGGGGTAGTTGGTTCTCTCCTCCTACCATGTACATCCCCAAAATCAAAGGCAGTTCAATAGACTTGATGGCAAGTGCTTTCCCTGCTGAGCCACCTGGCCAACCCCCCAAGCACTTATTTTTGAAGTATGTTTCCTGACCACCTAGACCAGAACTGTCCAACAGAGCTTTCAAACAAGGAGAAGGGACGTGCTGGATGGAAATGACTGGAGGTGCTGTGTAAATTGGTGGACCCTCATCAGATGTGGCTGCTGAGAAGCTGAGATGTGTCTGATGCAAAGGAAGAAGTGCATTTTTGAAATTGTTTTTCAAATGTGACTACTGACTACCATATTGGTCAAGACAGGCCTGGATTTTCACTTGGGCTTGCTTCCGTAGTTCACATGACAGGTAACTACACTGGAAACTCGTGTTGCCCTCCAGACTCCAAATGCTGAAACTGTCTCTCCCTCTCTGTACTACATGAACTGCATCAGGCTCTAGGGAAAACACATCACTATCTGAGCATCTACTATTTCTTTATTTGTTTGTTTGTTTGGGTTTTTGTTTTGTTTTGTTTTTTGAAACAGGGTTTCTCTCTCTGTGTACCAACTCTGGTTGTCCTAGAACTCACTCTGTAGACCAGGCTGGCCTCTAACTCACAGAGATCTGCCTGCCTCTTTCTGCCTCCTGAGTGCTGGGATTAAAGGCGTGCACCACTACCACCCTGCTAAATGCAAGCTGTTAAATCCCTCATAGCAGGAATACCATTATCCTACTCTTTTGAAGGTTTTTGTTTGTTGGTTGGTTGAGTTTTTTGGTTTTTGGTTTTTATTTTGGTTTTGGTTTTGGCTTTTTTTGAGACAGGGTTTCTGTGTAACAGTCCTGGCTGTTCGGTCACTCCGTAGACCAAGCTAGCCTCGAACTCACAGAAATCCACCTGCTTCTGCCTTCCAAGTGCTGGGATTAAAGGCATGCACCACTGCCTGGGACATCTATTATTTCTAAGTGCTACAAAAAGATCTTTTAGAAGCTTCATCTCATTTAATCTTGCAATCTCTAACATCAAGTAAAAGAGATTCATGGGGTAGATATGGCTAATTTACACCCTGTTATCCAGGCCTCTAAAGCAGCAATTCTCAATCTGTGGTCACATATCAGATATCCTGCATATCAATACCGACATTTCGATTCATAACAGTAGCAAAATTACAGTTATGAAAGTAGCAATGAAAATAATTTTATGGTTGGGGGGGCCACAACTGAAGGGTTGCAGAATGAGGAAGGCTGAGAACCACTGCTCTAAAGGAAAAACTCTAGGAACCCAAGTCTCAAAATGGAAAAATTCATTCTGAAAATGAATGGATACCTAGAATCCCAATCCTCAGAGGTACCCGGGAACGTGATCGTTTTGTCTTCAGGGCCTTCAGCTGATGTAAACGGTTCCAGATGGTCTGCTCAGCCTTCTCTCTGCAAAATCCAAAGAGGCCAAAATGAGCAGGATAGGAGAGCAGGACAGCGAGGAGAAAATGAAAGCCATCTGAGTCCTTGCAAAGGCATCTACGTTGAATTCAGGGAAGGCACACAGAGGCAAACTGGGAAAGCACCACTTGCAATCATCCTCTTCCCTCTAACAATATCCTCCCTACACATCTCAAAATCCAGACTAGCTTTCAAGCAAAACCCAAAAGCTCCATTCTTCACAAGCCCTTCCCCAGCTCCTCTGTGACTCTCCTCCCTTCAAGTACCCTCTACCTTAACTCTACTTCTCCTGAACATGGAATTTTGTTTTTGTTGTTTCACACATCCTGTAGCCCAGGCTACCCTAAAACACATTATGTAGCCTGAGCTGTCCTCAAACTCACCCATATTTCTTGACTACCCAAGTACTGAGATTACAGGCATAAACCACCACCCCAGTTTATATATGATATTTACTTAATATTTTCCATCAGATGTTAGTAGACTACTTACACACCTGTCTTAGTCCCCATGTGAGACCAAGTTCTTTGGAGCCTGGCTTTATGATAGAAGGTTCATTTCCAAATCTCCCATAACAACCAACTCAGTATCATTCCACAGGTCCCATAAAAAATGTGTCAGATTAACAAACTAACGTGAAAGGCAGCTGTGGAAATAGTAACACTAACATGCCTTCAACAGCAATAAACAACAAAAAAAGAGGATGTGTTCACTTTTTCTTAATTCATTTTTAAAATTTGTTATGTGTATGGGTATTTTGCCTACATGTATGTGCTCCCACCACCCCTGTGTCTGGGATCTGATCCCCTAGAATTGGAACTACAGACGGTTGTAAGCTGCCATGTGGGAGCTAGGGATTGAGCCTGAGTCCTCTAGAAGAGCAGTCAGTGCTCTTAACTGCTGAGCCATCTCTCAAGTCTATCACTTTTGATGAATTTCCTGTGATCAGGTACTTCTTGGCAAGCTCTGAAGATACCACTCATATCTTTTCAGAATTCTGTTTCCCAACCACTGGCTACACCTCAAATCAGGTATATATATTAAAGAATATGACATTAGAGCCAGGTGGTGGTGGTGCATGCCTTTAATCCCAGCACTCAGGAGGCAGAGGCAGGTGAATCTATGAGTTTGAGGCCAGCCCGGTCTACAGAGCTAGTTCCAGGACAGCCAGGGATACACAGAGAAACCCTATCTCAAGAAACAAAAAATAAAATAAAAAATAAAATAAAAACAAAAAAGAATATGCCATCAGTGACCAAAAAACTTTAGGAAATTTGGGACCTCAGCACTTTGGGTTTAAAAATTCTATATAATGTACAGAGCTTGGTTTGGGCATTTTTGTGATTACTGTTTGCTTTGTAGACAGTTTCATTGTGTAGTCCAGGCTGGTCTATAACTCACAATCCTCCCAACTTCTGCAGTGCAGAGATTACAGGTGTGTATTACCTGTAATCTGTACTCAGATAAAATGGGTCTGGTGAGAGGAAAAAAAAAAAAAAAAAAACTCACAGAATTGCTACTGTGAGAATTAAACTAGTACATCCATGTATGCTGTACACATGGAACCGAACCCACAAGACATGCTCATCACACATCAGCCACTTATATCAAGAGTATCTCTATTACAGAAAAACCATTAACTCTCGGTGGCCTCGAGGCATTGGCTCATCTCCATAAGCAAGCCTCCTTGACACGATTACACACAATCTATTCACTCCCTATGGAAAGAACAAATTTGTACCTGATAGAGCACGTGACAAGAAGGATCACATCAGCCTAATGAAGAACAAAAAAAAGAAACTTATAAACTTTGACATTGACCTTGCAAAATCACTACTATGCAGTCCACCTACTTTTTTCCTATTATTATGGTAAAACATACATACATCTTATTTTAACCATTTTTAAGGATACAGTGCTATAATAAGAACACTATAGTGCAACCATCACCACCATCTCCTTCCAGAACTTCCCGGGGAAAGCTTTGTACCCATTATGCACTAACCCTCGAGCCTCACCTTCACTCCACAAGATAGCTTTGTTTTGTTCTGGTTTGGTTGGGTTGGGTTTGGCTGCTCTGGAGACACAGTCATGCCCTACAGTCAACATGGCCTCAAATTCCAGACCTTCCTGCCTCTACTTCCCAAGGCTGGGATTGCAGACACGTGTGACCACACCAAGTCTGATAACCCCTCTCCTGAAGATCAACAGCATCATGAAGGCTCAAAATAGCTGGAACACAGCATACGCTAGTCCTACAGTACACTTCACTCAAAGGAACTAACTCAGCAGGCAACATCTTCTCCCCAAAAACTCACTGCATCTAAGAATCTGCACCAAGGCAGGGCAGCCCAGGCCCAGGAAACAGGGAGGCAGGGGGTGCAAGCACCTCTTGGAGGTTGCTGGTCCGCAGGAATCCGCTCTTCTGTAAAATGGACCAGGCTATCTCTGTGTCATTCACGTTCATCTGGCAGCCATAGGTCTCGAGGTAGACTGCAATGAAAGGGAGATTGAGTAGGCAGAGGGCCATGTGGGTCTTCAGCCTCCTTCCCAAAGTGCTCAGAGACACCTGAGGCAACTTGTCATCCACAAAGTCCCCTGCTGCCTTGACCCTAAAATACCATCAGCTGCCAGATGTACCCCCAAATTAATAATAGCCTTTTAGAACAAAGGAAACACAATATCGTATACACACACCTATAATAAACAGGGTGTTTAAATACAGGGGAAATGTGCCCCTTAAGAAATAAGGGCATAGGGCTACAGAAACAATTAGAACAGGGAAGACTAACGATCATTTTTATCCATCTGAGAAAGAACTAAATTCAAATCCCCGTATTACAGTCCTCCCTCTAAACAAGAGGTCCTCTAACCTCTGGGAGCAGCAGCACTGACCAGAGGGTACAGACACCACAGACTAAAAAAAAAACGAAAGCAGACACGGTCATATTATGAAGTAAAAATACAAATTTACACCAAGTTCCAAAACACGGATTTCACACTTTGGTAGACCCTTTCAAATCATATTTCTAGTTACAACCCCATTACCATCAGAAGGCTATTATTCCAACTAGAAGCAGGGCATGGGGGGCCAAGGCAGGAGGATTATCATGAACTTGAAACCAGAATGAGCTACACAGTGAGCTCCAGGCAAACCTGGACTAAAGAGACTGATTCTTTCTCAAAAAAGCAAAACAGAATAGGAAACATCAGCTCTTCTTTTTTTTAAGCCAGGGTCTCACTATGCAGCTCTGGCTAGCCTAGAACTCACTATGTAGACCAGGCTGGCCATGCTCTGCCTCTGCCTGCCAAATGCTGAGATAAAAGGTATTTACCACGGGCCTAGATAATTTTTTATATACTTTGGAAGGGGGGGTCACATATGCCATTTCAGAAGTCAAAGGACAATTTGTGGTAGTAAGTTCTCCCCTTTCACCTTGTGGGTTCCAGGGATCGAACTCAGGTCATCAGACTTGGTGGCAAGCAACTTCTGAGTTATCTTGCCAGCCCCAAGAATAAAACTCTAAATCAGAAGTGATGACAGACATCAGTAATTCCAGAAGTTAAGAGGCTGAGGCAAGAGGATTATGAGTTTTACACTAACCTGGGTTACAGAGCAAGACCCAGATTCAAAAGGTAAGGGGCAGAGTTGAGCAAGATGGCTCAATGGTTGAAGGCTTCTGCCACCAAGCCTGATGACACATGGTAGAAGGAGACAACCATCTCTCACAAGTTGTCCTCTGACATCCACATGTGCCACACACAGAGACACATAGAGTAAATGTGAAATTTAAATGGAACTTTAAAAACTGTAATTAGAACACAGATTATAGTGTTTCCAAAAGCAACCAAAGAGAGGACTCCAATTCCTGTGTGCACAGCTTTGAGTTCTAGTTTGTCTTTTGAAGTGTTGAGGCTGAAGAACAGAGCTTCAAGCACGCTAGGCAATCACTGTAACACACAACTCTTCCCCTGCCCAACCTATGAGTTTCTTTACAGCAATGCTGCTTGGGAGAGCCTGATGATTCTGTAACTGAGCAACCTGCCCACACTGCTAAGACAGTAGAGCCACAGAGGCTGCGACAGAGAAAGGAAGGAAGCCAAAGGGAAGGGAGAAGTAAAACTAACCTTTTCTCTGCCTTCCTAGAAGTTCATCCCCTGTGAGATACGGGGGTGGGTCCTCCACTTCTGGAAAAGATGGTTTCTCTTGAAGAACCGAAGCACTTCTTAAAAAATGCTGAAAAGTTGGTCCGGCGGCTAGCCTGGAGCTGAAATCCTTCTCAACACCTTCTGAGCTCTGCCCCTCTGAACTAAGACATGAAGAGCTGGGGACACTGCTATGTGCCCTGCAGGTCCTGAGCAGCAGCCAGGACACAGAGCTCAGTGGCCCCCATTTTAGAGACCTCTGTGCTTGGAGGACACATTGTAAAGGATGCATGACACCTGTGGTCCTAAATCTGCAAAAGAGTGAGGCATACCAACATTTACTGCACACTCTATACAGGTACTACTCTGGACACTTGCCCCTCACAAAAGCAGAAGAGAGGATGCTTTGGGGGTGGGGTGGGGGCATAAGAGGTGTTGAGACAATCTTAGTATTATCCTGAGCTGGCCTGGAACTCACTATGTAGTCCAGGCTGGGGGGGGTCTGCCCCTAGGTTTTGTTTGTTCATATTTTGAGATATTGGTCTATAGTGCAGACCAGCCTCAAACTCCTCATCCCTCCTGCCTCCGTCTTCCAAGTACTAGAATCACCAGCATAGACCACCATATCCAGTTCAAAAGTACTCTTGATAGTTTACCTTAACCCAAGCATGGTAAAACTGCAGTCTCAGTGCCTTGGAAGGATAAGGCAGGAAGATCATTTGAGCCCAGGGGTTCCAGGCCTGCCTGGACAACCTAGCAAGGTCTCTAAAAACTTGGTCTCGGGCTGAAGAGATGGCTCAGCGGTTAAGACCACTGACTGTTCTTCCAGAGGTCTGAGTTCAATTCCCAGCAACCACGTGGTGGCTCACAACCACCTTAAATGAGATCCGGTGCCCTCTGCTGGCATGCAGGCAAAAGACTATACAAAATAAATAAATAAAATCTTAAAAGATTTAAAAAAAAAAAACTTGGTCTCTCATGCTGGACGTGGTAACACTCGACTTTAATGCCAGCTTTTCCGAGGCAGAGGCCAGCCTGGTTTATAGAGTGAGCTCTAAAACAACCAAGGCTTCACAGAGAAGAACCCTGTCTTAAAAAAAAAAAAAAAAAAAAAAAAAAAAAAAAAAAATGGACAAGGGACAAGATGGCTCAGTGGGTAAAAATGCCCGAGGCTCAAGTCTGAAATCCTCAGTTAAGAGCTCCTGAACCCACCGTGAATGGAAAGAACTGACAGTGGAGAGAGGAATGACTCTGACCATCACACGCTGTGCGCACACTCACACACACATAATACTTTTAAGAAGTGGGGCGGGAGGGGAACGACCCAAAGAGGCATACTAAGACTTCAGCAACCACTCATTTACACCTCACACATCTTTTCACAGGATGGGCCTTAAGTAAAGTCAATGTGACTGCTGCCTGGCCAGGCAAGCCCCGGATCAGGGAGCCTTCTTTAAGAGCGTTGGGATGGGGCAGCGATCCTCTCTGTGGAACCTGGTGGGGGCATCAAATGCAAGCTTAAAGGTTTGCACCGCACAGCGCAGGGCGGAGCTCTTAATGTCAGTGAAGGGGGCGGAACCGCCCGCCACATCCAAGCACGCGATTGGGTAGATACTGGTGCTGGGCGTGGCAAGGGGGCTCTGCGTGCACGCCCACGAGAACCCCCGCAGCCACCCAGCAAGGCCGGTCCGACCCCCATCTCTGCATCCCAAGGGGAGAGGCTAGGGCTCCGAAGGACCCGGTGACTTGGCCAAGCGCATACAGAAGTAGGCAGCGGGACTGAGCTACATTCGCAGCGGCCTCTCTCGGGGCCTCACGCCGCCCAGTGACACCTTCCCCCAGTGCTCCTGGCTTTTCCGGGACGCCGCGAGCGCGCCCACGCCACGGCAGGTCACCCGCAGCAAGTCCCTCTCAAGCCTCTCACCTCCCACAACCGCGAGACCCCGCGTCCGAACCGGAAGCTCTGTCCGCTGGTGAGGGTCGCTCTCAGGCGTCCTCCTCTGCGCGCCGAGGCGTGCAACTTCTGTTCCGCCGTGACTTCCGCCAACGGTGTTCTAACGGAAGTGTTTCCTACCGGCCTGGTAGACTCAAGCTACGGGCTTTGAAAAATATTTGGGTGGGAAACCCAATTATTTATATGCTAACCAAAAAATTTTAAATAAAGCTTAAAAACCAGGTTGGGCCGAGCGGTGGTGGCGCGCGTCTTTAGTCCCAGCACTCGAGAGGCAGGAGCAGGTGGATCTCTGAGTTTGAGGCCAGCCTGGTCTCAGAGAGAGTTCCAGGACAGCCAGGGATACACGGAGAAACCCTGTCTCGAAAAACAAACAGGTTGGGCACGTGGGCACCCTGAGAGTCTGCATCTACCCTTGTCCCAAGAAAATGAGGGATTCTTAGGAGTGTTCTGCCCTTGGAAAGTAGGGGCTCTACCTTGTCACCCGTCTGTCACATGTACTCCTTTCCTCCCTGCACCAGGCCCTTAATGGAAAGGGGCCGATGGGGCTGGTAAGGTGGCTCAGAGTGTAAGACACCTGCTGCCAAGCGTGAGGACCTAAGTTCGAACCCCAGAACATACAAGGTGAAAGAAAATTGACTCCTGCAAGTCCTCTGACCTCCACAAATATGCCAGGGGACATTCGACACCCCCCCCCCAACACACCAACACACACACACTCACACGCACGCACACTGTCTCTTGGCGAGGTATCACACTTTGGTAACTCCAACACTCAGGTAGCAGAGCCTGACAGCCTGAGTTCCAATCCCCAGAATCCACAAGGTGAAAGAAGAGAATTGACTACCCCAAGTCCTCTGACCTCCACAGATACACCATGGGATACGCAACCCCACCCTCCGGCCGCCAAACACACACACAGATACATATACATTAAATGTCTCCTGGCCCAGCATACTTCAGTAATCCCAACACTCAGGAGGCAGAGGCGGCTGGTCTTTATAAATTCAAGGCCAGACAGAGATACATAGTAAGACTCGGTCTCATAGTAAGTAAATGTAAACGAAATTAAAGAGGGGTTTCTGTGGCTACCTCTGAACTGCCTCACCTTTCCTGAATCTCCCAAATGGCCTTGGACAGCTCAGTTATTCCTCACCACGTCTTTGCCTGTCACGTGGCTGGGCCTTGACACTCTCAGCCACTCTCCCTTCCCTGTGGTTCATGCCTCTAGCCAAGGTGCCTCTTCTCCCTTAGACCTAACCTATAGACTCCACACTCAGGAAAATGCTGAGAGCAGGATTCAGACAGACCAGAGCCCTGAGGTGAGAACCACCCTGTGTAACATAGGTGTTTTTCAAGCTCCACCATAACACCTAGTTTTAAAGTGTAAACATGTGGTTGAAACACAAATTGCATGTGGAATGTGGACAGTTTAAATTCCACAAGCCTGGCATGATAACAGAGGAAAGGCGCCCCCTCCTGGCATGTTCCTGTCACTACTCCCACCAAAACACTCGATTTGGGTGGAGGGAAGGAGAGGGGCATTCCCAGCCTTCCTCTGGAACAATAAGTTTTTGTTTTGTTTTGTTTTGTTTTGTTTTCATCTGTGTTGTGAATCTGTGCAGAAAGTCAGAAACACCTCTGTGTGGGAAGCTGGAAACACCTCTGTGTGGGAAGCCAAAAACCCCGTAGCCTCCAACCGAAGCTAGAGTAACTGGTTTCTTTAGTACGGTAACTCTGAAAATCTGTGTAGGGCATTCTGGGCCTCACTCTCCACCTCATTCTACTATTTCAAATATACAGATAGTGCTATGGTCTCAATGTGGTGTCTCCCTCAAATCCACATATTGAAACTGTAACCTTCAAGAAAATGGTAATAGGAGGTAGGATCTTTGCAAAGTGATTAGGCCATAAAGGCAGAGCCCTCTCTCGGCCTTAGCACCATCTTGCTTGCAACTCTTGCGCCATGAGATCAAAGTGGAGGAAGAAGCCAATGTGCAGGCTGAAGCACAAGGGAAGAAAGATGAGGCAGAGGTCCAAGTAAACTAGCTCATCCACCCACGAAGGCTGAAGGAGCAGAAGTAAGGGACTCTGAAGCCTGGGAGGCTGGTACAAGTTGTTGGACTGTGTGCTACTGTTGCTGTAAGTCTCAATGGACCTGGAACATCACCATCTGCTCACAGAAACCACCTGAGACACTTGACTGTTGACATCACAACCAAAACAGTCCCGCTGGCCTCTGCCCTGGACCTGTGGCATTCTGGACTCATTCTGTTCTCACATGTGGCCAAGTGTAACTCGTACACAATAAATCATCTAAGCGTGTTGTTTCCGTAGTATAGTGGTTATCATGTTCACCTCACACAAAAAATCATCTTTCTCACTGTCTCAGCTCAAGAATCAAAAACTAAATAAATGGATAGATAGATAGATAGATAGATAGATAGATAGATAGATAGATAGATAAAGGCAGAGCCCTCCCTCATGCAGAAACAGAGGCAGGCAGGTCTCTGTGAATTTGAGGTTAAGTCTGGCCTATACATATCTAGCTCCAAGCCAGCCTGGGCTGAATAGTGAGAATTTGTCTTGATAAATAAATAAACTTTTTTTTTTGGTTTTTTGAGACAGGTTTTCTCTGTGTAGCTTTGGAGCCTATCCTGGCACTCATTCTGGAGACCAGGCTGGCCTCCAACTCACAGAGATCCGCCTGCCTCTGCCTCCCGAGTGCTGGGATTAAAGGTGTGCACCACCAAAGCCTGGCTAATAAACAAACTTTTTTAAAACAAAAAGTGTATAAAGAGGTATGCTGCACATGCCTATAACAGTGCTTGGAAGGTGGAAGCAGAAGAATCAGGAGTTCAAGGCCAGCCTCAGCTACATTAGGAGTTCAAAGCTAGCCTGGGCTACGTGTGACCCTATCTCAAGAATTTGTATGTGTAAATCAGCACTCAGGAAGCAGAAGCAAGAGGTAGGGAATTCAACGCTACCTAGACAATATGGTGAGTTCCAGGCAAGTCTGGAGTAAGACCTGTCTCAGAAAATTCCTTTTTGATTTCATAAAAAAAAAATATATGAGATTAACTCATTTTACAGACTTAAAGATGAGGAATACAAGAGTAGTCACATACAAAGGCTCACACTACAAGACAGAGCTGTGCAGTAGTTGGGACCCACCCATAGTTCAGTCTGATCCCAAAGTCCTATTCTTAGCTCTGACTAACTCAACCTCAGACTGGCTGGGTTCCCGCTGGGGCTATGCTTCTGACAGTTGGATAACCATGGCCAACTAATCACTGCTGACTCCAGTGTCCTTGCCTACAAAGTGCCAACTGTGTGGTGAATACACTGTGGTGAGGCATGGGGAGAAAAAGGGTAAGGAGGGGCCAAAGGATCAGAAAGGCACTGGGGCTGTGGCAGTAGTCCAGAGATCAACTGTGGATTCCTAGGCCAGTGTGGGATTTGGGGCCGTGAAGTTTGAAAAAATAAACAAAACCCTATGATTTCAGGAGATTGGGAACCTCATATTCTCTCTGCTTTAGGACCTGATGTTCATCCCTCTTTCACCGAATTCTACTGGCTGCTGAAAGTTCTGATAGCAAGCACTCGCTCACTCACTCACTCCCCCTCCACCTTACTGTGAGCAGGGTGTGCTCTCCTTCTCACTGCTGACAGGCAGATGGCCTGAATGCTCTATGTGATTGACTGTTCTTCACACTCCACTGGCCTACCGCAGGATGAGGAACCCCAATCAACAGCCAGGAGCAAAAGTACCCTGCTCTCAGCCCAGTTTTAACTAGTAAAACTGTAGTCTAGGCACAGCCAGGACAGTGAAAATAAATGCCTGTTGTTATAGCCATGGAGATTGAACGGGGTTT